GTTAAAAGGGGCATGGACATTTCTCTTTTTTCTATCGAAAAAATATCGAACCGTGAGACTAAAGTATCGAACTGAACTGAATCATGAATTTTTCTGTATCGTTGCACCCCTAGCAGCTACGTATGCTGTGTTTTTGGCAAATTGTAGTCGCTGAGTTTACTATTTTATACTACTTCTGTGATATTACTACTACTTCTACTTCCTGTTATCTTCTTCATCATCGTCTTTTTCACCAGTAGAAACAGACGGTTGTTGATCACGTGACTCCTGTGATGTGAAAAAAGTGTTTCCATTGTAGTTTTGTGAAAAACAACAATTTCAATACGACTGAAAAACCACCTCATCCTAGTGCAAAAACATTTTGTYGGAAAACGTMWTTTTTTTYCCCAAAATTGACGTGTTTCCATTKAGCAAATTTATTTTTGAAATTCTAATTAGTGCATTTTCATGGTGAATGGAAACACAGTGACTGAGAATCTGTCTCAGGTAGTTCAGTAAAGTCTCTTTGTTCTCTGTTTAAATGACAGGAGCTTTAAATGTTTTTGTCTCATTCTTAGATTGTAGCACAGTGAAGAACATTGTTCACTTTGTGGTTTTCTTTAGACAGCTGTAATCATCAATTATTTAACAGTCATTTGTGTTCAGCATCTACAGAGTGAACGTCACAAAGCTTTCTGTAAAAGTGAGGAGTACTCTGCTGTGGACAGGCTGGTTTCAGCTTTACGCTTCAGCTTCATCCCCATCCAAACTGAAGTCACCAGGTAACGTTTTACTCACTACTTCCATCAAAGTATTTTACTCTTCATTTTCTCTTTATACATGTTTTATTCTTAGCAGAGCAGCGTGCAACACTTCCTCTGTTCCTGCTCCTGAACCATCTGGAGGAGGTGCTGTAGGACACAGAGGAGGTGCTGTAGGACGTGGAGGTGCTGTAGGACACGGAGGAGGTGCTNAGGTGCTGTAGGACACAGAGGAGGTGCTGTAGGACGTGGAGGTGCTGTAGGACACGGAGGAGGTGCTGTAGGACACAGAGGAGGTGCTGTAGGACACAGAGGAGGTGCTGTAGGACACAGAGGAGGTGCTGTAGGACACAGAGGAGGTGCAGATCAGGTCAAAGACTGGAGGAGCATCAGAGAAGATGAAGCCTCACTCAGCTCTACATCACAGCTGCACAGGAACTGCTCCTCCTCCTCCAACACATCCAGGCTCAGGTCTGTTCTCTGGAAACCCAGCTCTTTGACTGTTGCTGCTGAAAAACCTGAGCAGGTCCAGACTCCTCAGGTGACGTCAGAAACACAACATGAGGTCGACCGTGTGACTCACACACGTTACAAAGACACAACGTGCTCCTTGTCCTTACACAGTCCACACACAGGAAGTGAAGCATCAGCAGGACGTTTGAAACACGAAGATGAGAAGAAGGACCAGGTTCTTCATGACTCCCACACTGGAACACTTCTCCCTGGAAAGGAAGAAGAAAATCTTTATCCAGACGTCTGTACGGTCAGAAGGATTCAGAGGAGAGTCAGAGTTTATAAACAGAAAAGAAGGAAAATAGACACAAGTGTGGACCGTTCAGGTGATACACCTGACCACTTCCTGCTCACGCTCCAGGAGCTTTTTCAGTCCAGTGAAGACCAGGATGTTGAGTTTCATGGTTTTACACACTAAAGTAGAGAAAAACTGAACTTTCTCTGCCATCAACCAAAATTCTGTTTGCTTTAACTCGTTCAAAACTAATATACATTTTAAAAATGCAATGAGGCAGCTCAATAAAAATAATAATAATAATAAATAAAACTTCCTGTCAAAATCTTCAGACTTTCTCTCTAAATTTAAAATATGACCTAAACTTGAGCTTTTTATCAAAAGTTGTTTATTTTTGTTTAATTTGTGTTTAAGTGAAATACTTAAATATGATGTTGACTATATGAGTTAACAACTACACATTTACACCTTTATGTCTGCGTGGGTTGTAGACAGCATGACATTTTCAATTGGTTTTTAATAAAAAGGCTTTTTTTTAGAATAAGAACATCTTTTATTCTTTAAAATGTCCTTTATGCCACATTGAAAACTTTAAAAACTAAAACACAATGGAATTTTATTATTTTAATGTTTTTATATTTATTTATTGGACATTTTGATCCAAAAAAAACTGCTGTCAAAATGAATAAAACATTTCTCAAAGTTTTACCTCTGTCGTCCAGGCACACTGCCCTGAGGTCTCCCTGCTCTGACACACCTGTTCAGGTAACTGCAGTCAACAAAGTTCTGTTAATCAGTAAATGAAATCATCTGTTGGAGCAGGAAACCTCTGAAACCTGCAGGGCAGTTTGTCTTGAGGACCAGGGTTGAAAAACACTGACTTAGTCAATGTTTCCTGCTGGATTTATAAAGTTTTATTTTGACAATGTGAAAAAATATAAAAATATAGAGACTGGACTTCATCTGGATCATTTTTGTCTTCATCTATATTTAGGTGTTTAGGGGGGAACAGAACATTTTACAGCAGCGTGATGTTGACTTTTCATTAAATATCTGTTGTTTTTAAACTCATCTGCTTCACTTATTGAAAATGCCTCATTGTTACTGTGGTTGGACTGTCTTTAAATAATAATAATATAAAAATCACAGTATTTTTTCTAACCTTTTCTGACCTCTGACCACCCATCAAAGAGCAGTAATGTGTAAAAGTTTAATACAGATTTTTAGTTATATTTTTGTTGTACCTGACACTGTCAGGTGTTACAAGGTCAAAAACACTTTCAATGTCCGTCTTATTTTACTGAAAAACACTTGTTTTAACAGGACAACAGCCTTTATCTGTCACAGCAGAGGAAAATGAGACGCTGCCTGATTTTTAGACCTTTACACAGGTAAGACCAGCTGATCACAATCACTGATAAATCAGGGTGATTTATTGGTGCACCTCTACTAAAAGATGCATTATGTAAAAATTTTTTTTATAAATCTTTTACCTTTTTTAATCTATTTTGTAGCCTTAAGTCATACATATAAAATAATATATAT